ATTTCAAAAACAGTACTCCAATTTGATGTTGTTTAAAAGGATTTTAATTCAGTAAAGTATCAAATAAAAACAACTGTTCTATTGCTTTAACTTTCTAAATAATTACCTTGGAGAATAGCTGCATGCAAATTATACATACACTTGCATGTACATGTAGCTGAGATAGGAACTCAACTATACAAAGTTCATGATAGGTAATATTGCTCATTCACCACTCAAGCTATATGAAATAACCTATGACGCTACAAAGTCTGACCATGTATGCTCATTCACTGGAAAAGAACATTGCTGTGGATAATCGCAAGACACATCTTCACCCTTGATCTGTTGTCTGCATCGTTCCTTCTCCAGACACACCGAATATAAATGCTGGAGCTATATTGAATGTTGGAATCACGGTTAAACTACGAAACATTTTAACCTTAATCCTCAGTTCATTAAAAGGTATCCTATGTAGTTAAATATTGTTCTATCTTATTCAAGTGATAACATTTTGTCAAACTTCGTTATAAACTCGTAAATAACTCATGAAACTCATATCAAGTTGAAATATAAAGTTCTGTTTTCTGAATGCATACGAACCATCTGTAACATCTGTAACCTTCTTTTAGTTGGTTAGGAAGGGTACAGTTCTATGAATATATCCCTTGTTAATTATTACCTTTTTTATAAAACGTTGTTCATAATTAATTATTAAGAATTTAATCATAAGTTCTTTCATTCACATCACAAGGAGCAGTTAGTATTATATAATATTATTATGGTATTGACCCTGTATGCTAAAGCGAAGTAATTCAGTCTGAGCAGTTGCGTCACAATCAGCTGATTGTGGTTTTAAACAAAATTCTCATTGAGTTTGTTCTTTTGTTTGTCAGGAACATTCCCATACTTGTCAAGGACACAGTGACCTTCTATGAACTTTAAATCTGATATGTCGTTGTATAACTGATATTCCGTTCAAAGCGGCGTGAAACGTAAATCACATGACGCCTACACTTATGTTCAAAGTGGATTCTTAGAATATTTATATTACGATATATCTACGCCTCCGATAAAGGTTGCAGTACATAAATAGTATGTTGTCTGCTTTTTGACGTAAATGTGAAAGAAATATATAAATACATAAATCCCACGATACGTTTTAACGCACGAATAAATAATCTGTCGAATATAAGTCCTTTACAACTCGGTATCAGATAGTTTTAGCACTGGAATAGGGCATGTGGTAATACATGCTATGTCTTCATAAGGACAAATGACCTTGGGAAATTCGACACCTACGCAAGAATCTCTATAAAAAGAACATTTCTTTAATCATGCAAACATTGTATGAATAAATAATAACAATGCATTTTTGCACCTGTACGTCTCCATACATTCATTTACAAGATAAATTGGAACTTTGTCCCCCAATTTGAGTCCGGAAGTGAAGGAAGTCATCACAATATGTTATTGATGTTATATACAAGTATTAGTCCGGCTTTGACAGATTTCTCTCTTTCTCTTCTTAGAAACATAAGAAGACTGTGAATCAGTGTGTATTTAAAACACGGTGTCACAGTAAACACAGTAAACTAAGTATTAAACTTAGTACCCTTTGCTTGTTGCTACAGCATGATCTAATAACAGTTACAAGGGGATGGGAACATGCGATCCTTGCTTTTACATACAAGAAAACGAACTGACCATAAAGAGAGAGAGTATGTTTTCACTACTTCAAGACACAACATTATTTTGGCCTGAAAATAGGAACCAAACAATTGTATACAGGACGCAACAACTCTGTACCGTGAAATCCAGGGAACAAGCTATTATAATTTATTTAGATATAAAAGTTTTATTTTCAGCACTTTCTGGAACTGGTCTGTAACACAATGTCTTTGCTTTGCATGATAACATAATGTCAGTGCTCTGCGTGATAACATAACGTTAATGTCGTGTGTGATAACATAATGTTAGTGCTCTGTTTGATAACATAATGTTAGTGCTCTGCGTGATAACATAATGACTGCACTGCGTGAAAACATAATGTTAGTCCTCTGCGTGAAAACATTATTTCAGTGATCTGTGTGATAACACAATACCATTGCTCTGTGTGATAATATAATGTCAGTGATCTGTGTGATAACACAATGCCATTGCTGTATGTGATAACATAATGCCAGTGCTCTGCGTGATAACATAATGTCAGTGATCTGTGTTATAACACAAGGCCATTGCTCTTCGTGATAACATAATGTTAGTGCTCTGCGTGAAAACATAATGTTAGTGCTCTGCGTGAAAACATAATGTTAGTGCTCTGCGTGAAAACATAATGTCAGTGTTCTGTGTGATAACAAAAGGTTAGTGCTCTGCGTGATAATATAATGTCAGTGCTCTGCGTGATAACATAATGTCAGTGATTTGTGTGATAACACAATGTCGGTGCTCTGTGTGATATCATGATGCTAGTGCTCTGCGTGATCACATAATGTTAGTGCTCTGCGTGATAAGATAATGTTAGTGCTATGCATGATAACATAATTTCAGTGCTCTACTTGATAAGATAATGTCAATGATCTGTGTGAATACATAGTGTAAGTGCTCTGCGTGATAACATAATGTCAGTAATCTGCGTGATAACATAATTCCACTTCTCAGCGTGATAACAATGTAAGTGCTCTGCGTGATAACATAATGTCAGTGCTGTGCGTGATAACATAATGCCAGCGCTCTGCGTGATAACATAATGTCCTCATGCAAATACGAGGACTTGTCAAAAGGTTTAAGCCTAACAAATGAAAGTGTTTTTAATTTTATTTTTCAACATAAACTCCCTGCTTTTCCATACACTTCTCACACCGATAGTAAAGCTTTTCAATTCAAGTCAGGATGAGTGTTTTGAAGCCACCCTGAACAACCCAGCTTTGATGTCATCGTTTTCGTCACAGCGCTTTCCACTAGGGAGTTCTTTCAATTTAGGAAACAGATGAAAATCACTTGGTGCCAGGTCTGGCGAGTATGGAGAGTGAGGAGCTCGTCGAACCCACATTGTCGCACAGCAGCCTTTGCAAGTCGAGAGGTGTGTGAACAGGCATTGTCATGAAGTTGTAGAACTCCAACAGTCAGCATTCCTCGCCGCTGTTCTTTGATAGAATCTCTTAGGCGATGAAGCACATCAGCACAGTAGGCACCGGTAATCGTCTTTTGACTTTCTAAGTAATGAACATAATACAGTTGCTATAACTTTCTTCATTGATCTTGAAGACTTGGATTTCTTTGGTGCCGGAGAAGTGTTTTGATTCAGGACGTTGTGACTCGGGATAATAGTGGTAGACCAATGTTTCATCACCCGTCAGTAATCTCTTTTTGAATCTGACGAGAAATCCTCCTCAATTAGCTCGAAATTATCTCTGACAATGTCAGTTCTATTTTTCCAAAAGATCAGAATTTAGAAACTTTGGCACCCAACGAGCAGCTATCCTATTCATAAATTGTCATCAATAATACTGTCAAAAGATACATGGCTTAGACCTGTGTCTTCCTCAAGTTCAGCAATGGTAATCCGTCTAGCTATATAAGTTTTCTTTTCAAACTCCTTGATTGAATCTTCATTGATGGAAGTTAAGGGACTTCCAGACCTAGGGTTATCACCAAGACATGTTCTCCAAGCCTTAAACATAGCTGCCCAACGGACAGTAACAGTGAATTCATCTTAAAAGATGCTGAAATGTGCCGTAATTTAATTCCCCTTACAGAATAACCAAACATTGAGCACTCGAGGTTATTCTTGGCAGAATGAAACTGACCCACCCAATTCTGCCACTGGTGATGTTATTTGTGAGTCTGGCTCTTTTGAGAAGGAATACTTTAAAAAATGAGGACACATCAGCCCTGTTAGTTAAAGATTATATGAAATTCGTGGTGATCACTGAATGGAAAAGGCTTCTTAGAAAGTATTTGAAGAGGTTTTAAATCGACTTGATGGCGGCCCTGCACTTGGGGAATATATACGTTTCTTTCTCACACCAACATCACAGGAATCCTTCTTTTTAACAGTGGTGGGTTTGATTCATGGGCACAATGTACGAAGTCCGTTCTATGTGTCCCTCGCTGTGACATGCTGGAATACAGCTGAGCAATAATCGCTCACCCACACTTTTGCACAACGAATTACAGCGTTAGTCGAATGCAGTGTCACCAGTGCCCACTGAAACCCAGGAGCTCGAGTATTGTGCTGGGAAGACTGGAAACATAATCCATGAAAATCTGGGCAACCAATTGTTACATGGCTTACATATAGTCCACACAAGTGTTAAACCAATCATATGCATCCGTCTTCATTCGACAATAAATATATTTATGAAAGTTCATGTATCTACAGTCAAGACAAAAATATTCTGTACAAAAAAGACGATATTTGATCAAGTGGGGCATTTATATGTTGGTGGGAATACTGCTTGGAGAACAACTCATCAGGATGTGTGTTGCAGTAACTGTTGTATGTGCGTTTCGTGGTATTTAGCAACTGGCTAAAGGTAGCCATAAAACGTTGCTTAATCCCCCGACGACGCTTACATCATCATCCTATTTTTAGAGGCAATGTGTTTTCTACCCTTACTAATAGCAATAACGCTAGTGTCGTGTGTATAATGGGAATTCCACAGTGACATAAGTCGAGTGTTAATCTATGTCTTCCAGCCTTTGTGTATTGCTCCACGGCTTCCTTTATGTAAGAACAATGACAAGTGACAGTACAGTTAATAAAGCTCTGCCGTATATAAATGTTCTCGCCTACTTTTGTCTTTGGTGTATATATCTTCATACTTCGACAATCCACTTTCTGAGGTCCTTATTTCAAGAAGGTGAGACATAAAAAGATTAAGCAATGCAAGTAAATTATGCATTAAGTAACATACTAAATTACATATAAGTACTGGTTTACCATCGACACCCTTACTGCATCTGTAAACATCGGTACACATATTGAACGGCATCTCTGAAAATCAACAAGCAACACATTTATAATTAATAAATTTATTAAAAGCACAGAAGTGAACATCAATGCTGACAGATCTTACAGAGAGAAACCCCCATAAAATGGAATATTGACACCATATTTTTCACAGCAAACGGGGTGTATAGAGATATGTAAAAGATCGATAAAACACAACATGCTGAATACATGTTTGCACACTTTCAAGCGTCAACATTAACATCTGTACAATATAACAAAGTCCAAAAGAACATAATAAAAGTAACGAGTTTTATAATAAATCAAACACACAAATAATTAATATATTCATTAAAAGCACAGAAGTGTACATCAATGCTGGAGTAGAAATGACAGATCTTACAGAGAGAAAACCCCCAGAAATGGAATATTGACACCATATTTTTCACAGCAGAAGGGATGCACAGAGATATGTAAAAGAGCGATAAAACACAACATGCTGAATACATGTTTGCACACTTTAAAGCGTCATCATTAACATCTGTACAATATAACAAAGTCCAAAAGAACATCATAAAAGTAACGAGTTTTATAATCAATCAAACACCCAAATAATTCATAAATTTATTAAAAACACAGAAGTGTACATCAATGCTGGAGTAGAAATGACAGATCTTACAGAGAGAAAACTCCATAAATATAAAATGGAATATTGACACCATATTTTTCACAGCAGACGGGGCGTATAGAGATATGTAAAAGAACGATAAAACACAACATGCTGAATACATGTTTGCACATTTTAAAGCGTCAATATTAACATATGTTCAATATAACAAAGTCCAAACGAACATAATAAAAGTAACGAGTTTAATAATCAATCAAACACACAAACATTGATCTTAAAACGTTGGAGTAAAAGTACTTGTGTTGTAAATCAATAATCTATTTAATCATGAACACAAGACACTTGTGCTAAAGGACAGATCATACGGAAAACATAGAGCTGAATACTGACACAATATAATACTGAGATTACAGCTGATGGTCTGTGATATTTTATACTCCCCTGGGAACAGATCAGGGTAATATAACAGTGCCATGCGCTTTAAGCGAACCCTCGCCCCGGCCTTGCTCTTTATAAGTCACCTATTGTTACCACAATCATACTAATTATTATTTATGATATGTGCACACTACATCTTGATATTTCAAAATGCGACACATATAAAATGAAAACTCAAGAAATGTATCGGCGACGTAAGTAACATTAAATTTCCTTTGTTGTTTTGACAGCATTTTCTTGATTGTTTTCCACGTCATGCCTGAACTTATAACATTAAATCAATCTTAGTCAGGTTGAAGTGCATAAGTTAAATATATGCAGGAATTATGCCTCTACGGGGTGGGGTGTAAAGTGACATGTAAAACACGACATGCTGAGATACATGTTTTCACACTTTAAAGAGTGAATATCCACATCTACACAATGTAACAAATTACAAAAGAAGAACAAAAAAGTAAGGAGTTAAATAATCGATCATTCCCTAAAAGAAGTGAGCTTTTGTTATTTCATCCTTGATTTACAGTTGCTAAAATGTGGCTGTTTTATAGATATGAAATCAGTCTATAATACACACTTTTTAATGAATATACATTACACATATATGAATGACCATATATTGGGTTGAATTTGAGAGAAGCTAAAGACTTGATGTCTGTATTTGAACAACAGATCTAGAAGATGAGAAGTGGCAGTGGCCAAACATGTGTTTGGACTTGTACACACGTGGGTATGAGTGTGGCTCCTGCAAATCTGAACACATTGCGTTAGGCAATTAACACTGACCTGTGGTTTCGATGATATCTGGGGTGGTGGGGTGGTCTAGTTGTCAAAGTGTTCGTTCATGACACCGAAGCTCTGAGCTCGCTTCCCCATATGGGTTCAATGTATTAAACCCATTTTAGGTGTGCCCGCCGTGATATAGCTCGAATATTGCTAAAAGCGGGGTAAAACCATACTCACTCACTCACTTCATGATATTGACTAATTTGTCAAGTTACGACTACTTAACATAATCTGAATTTACATGTGGTAACTTATATCTGATCTACATGGATCAATATCTGTTGTAACGCAAGTCAGTTTTAGTTGTTATCCAGCGAAAGTTGACCTCGTCAGTATTGACTGATTTGACCTACATGTATGTTTAAATTTGAATTGTTCTACACATCAAATGCGATTTAATCCATCAATTATTACACCTGATAAAACACGTGAACATGTTTCTGACAGGTTTAGTCAGTTTTACGTGGACTCTGATTAGGTTGACAACAACCTACTTTTCGAACTCGGTCTGTGTTCCTTAATGCACAATCTGAATACCACATTTAGTCAAATGCATCAGTGCATTGGTTGGTTATCCATCTTAACATGTCTACTGCGTGTACAAGTGACAACTGTATTATTGGTAAGTATCTGATATACATGTACAAGTAAGTTTTTTTACAGCCATTGTCATCTACCGTGTGACCTTGTTATTATTGACCAATATTACTGACTTTCGAACATGAATTGGAGCGTGAATTAATACAGTAATAAGAGTAGATGTTTTTTTAAACTGTTACTGTGAATGGCAAGTGAAAAAGTTTCCTTTCGAATATTGGTCAAACAATGTTACAAATTGTTCTAAACATAACATTTTATACCACACATACATGTATTAATTCAGAGGCCGGAGCCGTAAACCAAGTAATAGTAATTTTAATACATGGTCTGAATGTCATGATCACAAAAACTGTCCAGTCAAAAGTACTGTCCAATAAAAACCATTGCTCAAACATAAGTATGGTCCCATCACAAGCACTGTCCTAATTACAGATACTGTCCCATTACATGCTCTGTCCCACCACAAGCACTGTCCTAATCACAAGCTCTGTCCACTCACCAGCACTGTCCCACCAAAAGCACTGTTCAGTCAGACACCAGCAAATCACCAGCACTGTCCCATAAGCACTGTCCCAATCACAAGCGATGTCCACTCACGAGCACTGTCCCACTAAAAGCACTGTTCAGTCAGACACTATCCCATCACATGCACTGTCCCAATTACAGACAATATCCCATCACAAGCACTGTCCTAATCACAAGCAATGTACACTCACCAGCACTGTCCCACCAAAAGCACTGTTCAGTCAGACACCAGCAAATCACCAGCACTGTCCCATAAGCACTGTCCCAATCACAAGCGATGTCCACTCACGAGCACTGTCCCACTAAAAGCACTGTTCAGTCAGACACTATCCCATCACATGCACTGTCCCAAAAAAACTGTCTCAATCACAAGCACTGTCCAATCACAAGCACTGTTCAGTCACAAGCATTGTTCCATCACAGATCCGAATGGTCTTGTGGGGATGCTTGATATACCAAAACATTCCTTCCACTCGAAGCAAATTCCACAGAGGAACTGATTCCGCCATCAATGGGCCAGTCAACAGCACATTCCAGTTCAGCCTCAGGGATTCTGGTAAACTGACTTTTTTGGTTGGTTACACTTTTTCTTCTTTGAGCAAGTCCTGGGTTGTTGATAAGCGTGTAAGCTACAAGCCATCTTCTCAAAGCTTTGGTATTTCTTCTCACTGAAATCAGATCAGAGGAACGTTTTCATACTATTAAGCATTCCTGATTCAAAATGATACAAGTAGAATACACAAAGGTCGAACAAACTGAATGCTATAGTAACACTTCAAGAACATAGTTATATTGTCATATTGCCTTTTGACTTTGTACAACATACAGTGAAAGCCGAATAAATTGTCCAAGGATAAATATTATTGTATCCGGTTCTCTTTGTTTCACGATGTAAAAGATTATGGATAACTTTCACCTTACTTGTAGTTTCCGTAAATATGCATTGTTTACCGATGTATTACAATATTTGAACAATAAATATTCATTATTAAGATGTGTGGACAATAGCTATTGATCTAGAGCTACGTTATGTTCGACGTCATATATATATATATATAGGCAAGTGTTGGCAATATGGTAATAAAAGGGACAAAAGCCTTTCCCTATGCATAAGAAATCCATTGTAAGATCTCGACTTTATCATGATCATGTGTATATGAATCCCTATTAAAAGGTGTTGATACTAGGTTTTCACAGAAAGGTGAGCGTACATGTACCCTGCCCACCGATGACACTCGTCACAAGCACATGCAAAGGCAAGTAAAGTTATCGCCTGAAAAAAACATGGCAGTAGATACAGCATTATGGTTGCTCTACAAAATCTGATGATTGACAGGTAACGGTTTTACTACTAGTTTCGCTGCAGCGAAACTGACTCCTTACATGTAGCTGCAGCATTACTGACAGGCGCAGTGTTACCGTTTATTGGTATTGTCGCATGGTGGTTGACTCAAAACACTAAATATTCGGGTTCAACACTACACATAAAATGTGTGAAATCCATTCTCAGTGTACCTCGCCGTGACATGGAAGGATACCACTTCAATGTGGTGTATTATATGTAAAACCATACTTACTGCTCCCACATACCAATTGTCCACATGACGCAAATAATGTTACCCGTATTATAGTGTTTATTGACACCCACACACGAATAAAACGGTAACATTAGTAAATAAAACGTACCCTGTGTCTGAACTATTTGCTGATGTCCATCCTTATCCAGAGCTGTCAGTAACAGGTCACAGAAGACTCTCAACATCGGGTGGTTGTGTGCGTTCTCCACGTGCAGCATGGAGATGTACGACAGATAGCCTATATGTGAGAAGAAACCGTTATCAATGATGTGTGCTGGCGTGCATGAGAGTGGTTACTACTAGAGAGAAGGTATCTCAGGTTTACGCTCCCACAATAGTTGTTAAAATTAAATAGGTAATAGAATGTAGTGTGAAATAACTATTTGTTTTCCCCTTTCACTGTACATGGTATCTTCAAATATATGTAAACGAGATACGGCAGTTGTATTCGCGCGTCTCACAGAAGATGCGAGTTCGATTCCCAACGTGAATGTGTTGTATTGATAGGGCTAGGAGATTGTAAGAAGAAAATGTCATTACTTTATCTACGTGCAAGTGTTTGGTAATGTACTAAATCTACATATGACGCTGAAACTGATATATGGTCGCCCAGACAATTTCATTTGGACAATATATACAGCTCTACTAAGAGAAAGTTCAATGAGGCGTCAACGGCAACGTAACCACGCCGAACCTTCGGGTTTATCATCTTTAATTATATGTAAAATGTGGCCATATCGTCATTGACATGCAGAAGTTGCAAGATTGCAGTGAGATAGAAACATGACAAATGGCGCTCCTCGATAACCACCGTGGCCGATATTGAAAGACATATAGGATAATAATTGAAATAATGCTATGGTGGGTTTAATTTTCTGACTTTTCATGAAAAATAATCAGATCAAGGGTCGGAATATTACGTCAGTGTCAAAACCCAAACAAGCAACATGTAATCAAGGCTTGTGGTGCCCTACATCCTTATTATACCACTGACAGAGCTTGAATGCAAGGACTTCATGTCCACGATTAATTGTGACGTTAAACTGGCATTGCCTTTTCATCCGTTAATCAGATGCGTTCATGTGTATAAATTCTGTCGGAACTTATACTGGATACGATCATTACTTTTGGCTTGTGAGGTTACGTTTCCTTGGTCTAGATATATTCGTTTGTTATATTACAATTTTATGAGCGACTGCAATCATCAACTAGTAATGTCTTGGAAACAGAAATGGAAACCGAGTTTTACTTGATCACCCTATTCGCGAACACCTGGTGTCATGACTGATTTTCAGTGACCCATGCATATAATTTTCACGGCTTATTATCTTTTACGCCCATGGGAATATGTTTCGGTGGATAATAATGACCTGTTGTTCTCTGGAGTTGATGTTATATATTTACAAATAGTCCATCTTAAAAGTGAGCGAGTTGAGTTTAACGCCACTTTGTACAATTACTAAATAATAAATATTATCACTACGTGTAATCTTTTTGTGGGAGGAAATCCCGAAGTGACCACGGGTATGCCAAACCGTATTTGAAAAATTATGTGAGAGATTTAGAATTCGATCCCTTGTTTGTACTCTGCACAGGGAACTAGACGATTGGGCCATTCGTACCTATTCGTATTGGGAGCATGGTGGAGGCCAACGGCGACACAAGTCAACGTGAAGCATTACCTTCAGAGCCGAGCATGGATCTGCTGGGTATGGATTTAAGGCCAAATTCCTCCACATTACCATCATGTGACCTGTGCATCACAGGGCCTTTCTCACGTCGTTCTATTATTGAAATACCGTTCAAATGCCATAACGATAGCATATATAAAGATGCTATAAACGATAACGATTAATAATATAAAAATTAAACAAAACCCATTACATACCTTTGTCTCTGTGTTCCCAGCCCCTTGCATATATGTTGCGATCCAGTCGACCAACCATGAAGACACAAAGAATGTACACTTGTAGAATTCTCCAGAAACACGAAAATATTCCAATGGCCAGATTTCCGAACAAGGCGTAGTAATTAAAGCAATCATAAAAACGCCTGAAATTAAATGAACTCTTATGGAAGTTGTCTTCAACATGTGACTTCATGATCTTTTATTGGATCTAGTCATGATCAGGTTATTGGAAACACTTTTTCTGCCCTAAACCACACGTTTTCATTGTGTGTTTTGATTATTGTTATTGAATCTATCACTTCGAAATTGATTGAGCAATATTCCAGCAATAGCACGGCGGTGAACGCCGGAAATGATTTTTACGCTTTTTACCCGGACTTTCGGCGTGACGAGCGAACGCTAGGCTACCCATAAACCTCACTTAGGCAGTCACAGGGGTAAGAGTTTGTGCTGAACCGACAACTCTAAACTCTAGTGAGTAAATCCATATTTCAGCACATACATCCAGGCCATACTTTGTGTCCGCCCGATCCTCAATAATTTGTTTTGTTGTACCTGAATCTCCACAGTGGCTCTGAACAGTAAGGTTGAGATTACTATTGAGACTGAAACTGTTACAGTACCTGTTGTCCACATTTAGAGGAGGTGTATCATCTGTAACCTTGATCTTCTCTTGCATGAGCACGCGCTTGGCTAGGACAACTTGTAGATAGAACAACAGCAACGCCGTGGCTGGAACACTTGTACAAAATCAATTTTCGATCCATTTCAATAAAACAAAACTCCTGGAAGTATCAAAATAGCACCTTGATGTTTACAATCATTAATTTGTAAAGAGACACTCAGAAGATTCCTACCCCATCATAAGTCATATGCTTGTTGAATGGCCATTTCCATTTCGAGGAATACATACATTGATTGACAAAAACGGAATTACATTGATTTCATATTTCGAAATACGCGATGATGTTTTACTGTCTGTTTACCTTCTATTGTGACAACGCTCTTAGCAATAGTTTGTAGTGCTGCTTGAAGTATACTGTATATTATGTATTTACAAATACGTATTTGAGATAGAACAAAGCATAATCATCATTCATATCATAATACATGTCATAACTATCACATCGATTTCCCCCCAGGGAATTCGTGTTGGGATAGGTCTCTAGCAGCCTATGTTGGTCGTAAGAGGCGATCAAATGGATCGGGTGGTCAGACTTAGTGATTGGATTGATAGTGTGCCATCGTACCCCGACTGCATGGATCAAATAGTTGGAATATTGCTTATTGCGGCGTTAAACAGCAAACAAACACAAAGATTTCTAAATAATAATGTTAATGTCCTGAATTATGTAGATTTAAAATATGCAGGGGCTCCAAAGGGCCTTTAACATACCGTGTCCTTTGTCCATATTAACCTACCTTATTCTTTAAAACAGCAATGATAACACTCTACTATTCACACAACTTGATGTACCTTAATGTTTGTAACAGCCATTGAAGTACATATGTCAGGTAGTGATTGATAATAATCCCGTATATCCCAAAGGTGAATATGGAGCCCGCGACGAAAAGCCCGAGAAACAGCATGAAAAACCCTGCAAAATAGAATTCCCTAAATTATTGCGAAAATAGCAACAAAATGGAACATGAGTACGTGAAGTGCGAATACCAACCAAACTTAAGATTTGATATCATGTCAGAATCCCGCATTCTGAAGAGATCATGAGATATATCTAATAAAAGTTGAATAATAAAGTTTCGTCGTTTTTGGTATTTACAAATGAATATGTATGTATGTAGATGTAGATATGCATTTACGTAAATGTATGAACATTCAGGCATAAAGCTATGTAAATGTATGTTTTAGACTTGTAAATACTATTGGCAACAATCATTTGGCTTTGTAATGACTGGATTTACAAGTAAGTAAAGGTATACATTTCGAGTGTATACGTTTCAAAGTCGCCTTGTATCCCCTTCAGATGAGGTGATTTACAATGTAAGTTTTATGGAGGAAATGATTATTTGTGTCAATGTTTATGACAGGAAACATATACAGTGAAACCTCGCTAGTCCGGACCCCGTTAATCAAGAAAACTCTGGAAGATCGTGTTGGGAACGGTTGCATGACTTATATTACAAACGACAATGATATACAGTTCCAATGATTCGTTAATCT